TTTCTCGCCAAAAATATTTGGCGACTTGAGGGCACATATCAGAGTAGTTCCATTATTAAATTATAAAACAGAATATGGAAGATTTAGTCCCTATATAAAAAATATCTTTCGTTTATTTATTTTACTGAGGTTGTTACACTATCTCAGACAAATTATTAGTGAAAGCTAACTGAAAGGTATTAAGATCAGATTAAAGTCAAGTGACAGACAGTGATTTTTGTCACCATATGTTGTTTTTGCAACATGAGGGCACTTAAAAACTGTACAACAGAAAGAATTCTATCTTGTAAAAATGTTGAAGATAGAACTTAAGCATATGGCTCTTATATGCTTTGTTTAAATAAATAATCCATTCTGTCTGAACTTTTTATGCTGAAATAACTGCTTGATTTTTAATTTCATGTTTGCCCATTTGAATGTCTCCCAGTTTAAGTGAATAATCTGAATTTAAGAAATTTTATTGTGAGTCCAAGATGATGAGTTTATTTCATAGGCAGCTGTAATATTATTTTACTAACCATATATAACCATTAAATAAATCAGTTTTCTAAATGAGTCTGTAATGACATTGTTCTTCCTAACATATAAATCAAATTCAAGCATTAAATACATTGAAAAGCAAAACTGTTATAAATATTAGTCTTTGTCACCAACATATTTATCATCAAATGAAAGCCTTCATAAGCTTGGTAACCTATTTCTTGCAGTATGTGAAAAGAAGCATGTTTGTACCTTTGGGTGTACAAAAAAATGAAAATATATTTGGAATATAAATTTTTGGTTGATCTTTAGATTATGGTAACTTGGCGATTTTTTGGCGAAAATTTGGCGACCAACTCTCCTACAGCAACCCTCTATTTTTTTTTCCCCGCCGCCATTTTGTCTTCACGAAGTAAAGACATGTTCTTTCTTTTATCTACTGAACACGTCTTTCAACATCTACTAGCCGAATAACATTAGAAATTTATCTAACAAAACTGCTTAATCATGACAAATATTCACTGCAAAATGGGAAAAAGTGCACAAACCATACTCCTTACGCGTTTTTCAAAAAAACATCACATAAACCATGTACACGCCGACTTATTTTTACTTAAAAAACATCCCAGAATTGCACAAAATGGCAGTGCGCACACTCTTCACTATATCCCTGTACACTGCTTTTTCTCATAAATTAGAAAAATTTCACGAAAATATATGACAATTTCTGAATCTTTAAACCCGGTAAAAAGAACATATATGAAATTACCTGATCGCGAAAAAGTATATCCCCTTTCCAATATGAACATTTCCACGTATAAAAAAATAAAATATCCAAAACTTTTACCTCTAAATCATCTATTATATTATAAACGCACCAACGAATTTATACCGCAAGCATTACAATACTTAGTGTCAATATTTAAATTATTTCCATGCACGTTTACTTCAACTAAAACGTAACCAAATTCCTACAAACATAAAATTCACAAAATACTATCATTTAATTAAAATATCACTAAACCATGTACACGTCGACTTATTTTTACTTAAAAAAAAATCCCAGAATTGCATAAAAATGCATTGCGCATACTCTTCACCATATCCATGTACACTCCTTTTTCTCATAAATTAGAAAAATTTCACGAAAATGCATGACAATTTCTGAATCTTTAAACCCTTAAAAAAGAACATATATGAAATTACCTAATAACGAAAAAGTATATACCTTTCCAATATGAAACATTTCCACGTATAAAATAAATAAAATATCCCAAAACTTTTACCTCTAAATTGTCTATTACAGTCAAAAGTCGTTAATCCGGACTCGTCGGGACTTCGGCGATTCCGGATTATAGATCATCATTTAAATCTGGTAAGATGGCATGCAGAAATTACAAAATTAAAAATATGAAACCGTATTTATGAAATAAAGAACAATTATGATCTAAAGGTTATCAAAATTTCAAAAAGAAAAAGCTTAATATTTATTTGTTTACTTTATTAACATTTTTTTCAATGTAAGTTGCTTCGTTTCATGTGATAATACTTTCTCTTTAATTCTATTAACAGACATAATTTCTTGTTTAGTTACAAAGTTTCGCTGTTCGAGTCCTATAATTGCTGTGTCGAGAATACCGATAATTTGTCAATCGAAATGTTTTCGTTTTCAATAACCTCTGGGTCACTTTCTTCACTATCGGAAGCGAATTATAATGATGAGGAACTTGATTTAAATCATATCAAAGACGGAGTACATCGAAATGAAATACTACACTTAGTAACCGAATTATAACCAAATAAAATAAAAACATCTGCCCTGAAGATAAGGATAGTGTGACAGATCAACTTCCAATCCGCGGCGTGAATTGATAAACGATTTCGGATTTCAAACATACTTTCGCTTTGGTAGATACAATTACATATTAGTAAATATATATCGGAAATTCTATTTGCTAATCTTTCTAATCTATCATAATCTAATAATGACGTTTCTGCTTCCCCCCCCCCCTCTGCCGCAGAGCAGCGTGAAATTGATAAACAGATTTCGGATTTCAAAACATACTTTCGCTTTGTAGTAAATATATATCGGAAATTCTATTTGACATAATCGAAAGTTCAAGCTTACTTTATAAAATTGCTTCTAACAGTCTGCAAAAAATAATAAGCCGGATCCATTTCGAAATTAAGGGAACAACGCAATCTGCAACATTAACTGAATTAGATAACTTTAGCTTAGCGTATAACTCCGTTACACATTAAACGCGCATGCGCACAACATATTCGCAGCCGTAAGGGTCTTACGCGCCTCGTAAACGCCTGTGCGCATGCGTGAACGCGACGCATGCGCAGAAAGTTTGTAGCTTTGAGGTCCGGATTATGGGTGTCCGAATTAACGACTTTTGACTGTATATTATAAACATCACCAACGAATTCATACCGCAAACATTACAAATACTTAGTGCAAATATTTAAATTATTTCCATGCACGTTTACTTCAACTAAAACGTATACCAAATTCCTACAAACATAAAATTCACAAAATATCTATCATTTAATTAAAATATAATTAAATTCAAAAACACTACTTAAAATATAAATAAGCACATATATTAAATTAATAAAAATTAGCTACAATCCTATTACTTTAAACTAAATCATTGCTAATAACAATTTTTCCAATAATACCAAATACTTTACTTCCACCTACATTAGAAAATGCATAAAATAATATCCTCAAATAATTAAAAATACTAACTTACCTAATCTTCTTCAGATCTTGATTACGTGTCCGTAAACTTTTCTTATTTTCTCCGCTAAATAAAAAGCAAGCGTATGTGCGCCTGTTCAGGATCTTTAAAATCTTACTTATATTCACAGCAAGGTACCAGTAAAATAAATAACTTAATAAAACATCTTTACTTCTATTTCGCACAACCTAAGAAACACTATTACTACTCCTTTCAATCCCACTAAATACCCATTTCGAATTCACTTTAGTTCGGGCCATGGGATCCAAAAATTAACGAACACTGTTTCACACAACACAGAATAAGGCAAATACAAAATTTCCAGATTTTTCCCCATTTCCCCCCCTTTTCCGATTAAAGAAACCGTAATTCATCCCATTAATATCACATGACATACCCATGATCTCTCATTTCCCTCACACAAAATAATGCGTAATCGGAACTGAGTACTGCTCACATTATTACCAAAGTCCCAGGTAGTAACCTTTATCGCCTCCAAAATGTCGCCAAACTACCAGTTACCATATTCTAAAGATCAGCCAAATTTTTTAATGAAAATTAATCCAGTTAATTTGGAGCAAAAATTGCAATCTAAAAACTTCAAATTGCAGTCTAACACTTAAGGAGTTTACTAGTAAAATTGGAAGAAAACCATGACTTTTATATATATATATATATTGTAGAGACATTATGTTACTTTAATGCAGGAAAGATAAAAAATGTGCAATGTCCTCGCCAGGATTTGAACCACAGACCAGTCGAATATACACCGAATGTGCTGACCATTACACCATGAACGCATGCTAAGAAAGCGGGAGGAATATCGTATATACTTCCCCTTTTGAAGAGGCGGCTGGGGATTAGGGCACCTAGTCGCCAAATCCTGATGGTAGAGAATCATCATCCCCCACCCTTTTTTAGTTCAGGCGCCACTGTAGAGACATTAGGTTATTTCCAAGCAGGAGAGATGAAAAGTGAGTAATGCCCTCACCAGGACTCAAACCATGAACCTCTCGAATGAAGGCGGGAGAAATATATTTAAACAAAAAGCACATACTATTTAAAAATGATTAAAAATAAATCACTATCTGACCGTGGTATGCAAATTTCTATTTAATACTCAAAGTAATTTTTAACTAAGCAGATACATTATTTTTTATCCGTCATTGTTTGATTACATTCGTCATGTATTTTTCAAAATTCTACTACATTAACTGTAAGTTACAAATGTATTTTTAAAACTGCAAATGAGTTCATTTAGGAAAGATTCATGATGCATGTTTTAAGATTAGAAAGTTTTTTATCATATTTATGTATGTTTCGAAAGCAAAAGACATTAACTTGGCATAGAATTTTCAATGAAACTGTATTGATTTTGAGGGTGGTCAGACACAGTTTTCTGTTTTTGAGGAAAAAATTAAAATGTTAATAAATTATGTAACAAAAGTGTTTTTGCTGCTGAAAAGTAGGACCTGTGCCTAATTGTTCTCAAAACCAGTGGAGCTTTGTTCCAGAATCTGTGCCAAACCAAGCTTGTTTTTGTGTAATTTCAATTGCAATGGTGTGTTTCTCTTCCAGTTTCATGGATATTAATTGCTTGATAACATAGAGTTTTTCAGGTACCATATACTTTGTTGGCAGTTTGTTCACAAATTAATAAGATCATTATTTCCTGATATTTAAATACAGTGTGCATTGCTTTACATACAATTATTTAACATTATAGTTTGTATTTTATAATATTGAAAATTATATTCTTCTTCCAGATGATCTTATTAAGCTGAATAGGTTAATCACAGTGTTTTACAATGGTTGAAGCTCAGCCGAAAGTTAGATCCTCATGGTACCTTCTTCTCGGGAGCATCTTTGCTTTTCTTGCTGCTCTTATCCTTGTTATTGCATTCTGCAGTCCGTATTGGTTAGAATCTTATCCCGAAACATATGCGGAATTTGTACGAATGGGCTTATGGAATTTCTGTTTCAGAAACTATCGGCATCCTTCATATCAATATGATGAACTTTTTGATGGCTGCCATTGGGTCTTCAGTTATAAATATCAAAGTATTAGAGATTGGATGCAACCTGGTAAGTTTTATTTTGTTATTTATGAAATATTTATTATTTAAAAGACTCTTTTAATATTTATCTGTGACAGAATTATTGCATTTTCATGTGCATTGAGAAAACCAGTATGGCTAAAGCCAAAATTATTAATGTTTTGAGAATTTAGCCATCTGGTTACTAATGAACTTTTATTTTACTAAAAAAATTAATAAAATATTGATAATAAATTGATATAGGTACACATTTAATTGTATTAAAGCAATAAAAATTAATAATGCATGGTTAATTTAATGCTCTAGCAGATGGGATACAGGAGCGGGGAAATATGCAGGCCACGCTGTGCTGGTGTCTTAGGCATTTCAGTTGTTCTGTGTGAGCAGGCATTGTCATCCATAAACAGAAAAGGCTAGACCAATTCTACAACGGAAAAGCAGATATGATCTAGTAGTATTTTTCTGTAATATCTTTATGATGTCACCGTACCTTTTTCAAAAATGGGAAGAGTTCAGGCATTGTGTGCAATATCTGCTCAGACAATTGCCGCTTGGCCATAATGTTCAATTTCCTGGATGTGGTGGTGATGGTTGTTCATGCGATGCGTGCGTTGTTATATAACAATTTCAAATTAACTAGAAGTGGACTGTACTAAATATTTTATTCGACAACTTTAATCAAATGCGTGCCATCTTTCAAGCGATGACTTACTACTAACAACAACAGCAATAAAAAAAAAACTGAGTAAGCGTTTACAGGGTTGCTGTAATGAACATCTGCGCCATGCAAGGCGCCAAGAAGAGAAAAAAATGACGTAATCTTACAGTTAAATAGTCTTAATGACTTAACAATGGTAATTAGTTTTCTTTTGTCTTTACTCTAGCTAGTGTCCAGAATTGCTGTTGATAGTGAAGCAGGATTTGTCAGGGAATATGACTTTGGACTAGTGTTACTGATCCCAGTCCAGATGATGCTTCTTACATCAACATAATCATTCTGGACAATGGTGTGTCTATAGCAGAATGCATCCAGCAGGCCTCTGTATAATCTGAGAGAAGTGGTTCTCACAGGTATATGAGTGCTGATACAATTGTCGAGATTTGCAGCTATTTGGCCAGACGCAGGGTTTCTGTTCTTTTCAACACTAGAGCAAAATATATATCATTTTGGTGTGTTGCATTCCTCCTATAAAAGAGAAAGTCCTACTAGGAGTGAAAATTTGCATAAATTGGTTTTTCCATAGTAGTTGTCAAGCAGTCTAAATCTCGGAATTATTTATAAATCAATCTATATGCATGTAAATAAATAAATGATGATGGCTAGTATCTTCATTTTATCATAAGCAGAAGATGAATAAAATCTGTTCATTTTACTGAAGATGAAACTTTAGTAAAATGCTAGGTCGTGCACTCATGCTAAATTATGAAAGCACTAAGAATTGTATGTTGATACTTCAACAAGTCAAATACAGAAGAGAAAGGATGTATTTTACAAAATGAGCAGATATACAAAATATTGCTTTTATAGCAAACTTTGGGGGGGGGGGAAATGGAACTGGCACATTTCTGCATAGGTGAGAAACAAACGAAAGCCAATCTGCACATATGCATATTGCATATTGCTGATATTTCTTCTACCAATAAAAATTTTCACCTTTAAAATACAATGGTTTTCTTTGGCCTGTGCTAAAAGTTTACATCTCTTCAGCTAATGAAAATTTTTTGCTTTTAAAGTATAATGGCTTTTCATTGTTAAATATTTATTATGTATGCTATTTTCAATTTTCCATTGATGGAAAAAGATACTTTAGTTTTTTTTCCAAGAAAAATACATTTTACTAAGTGAGAGAATTTGTGATAATGAGCATAATATGCAGTTGTATGTTAGAAAGTAAACTGTGTACTGATGCAGCGTGAAAACTAAAGAAAAGAACTTGTAAAAAGAACAAAGATCTTCATTCTAAAAATTGGTTTAACAGATAAAAAATATCCTACTTGCTGCTGGGTGTGGGATGCTTAAATACAATAACAATTAAAACCTCCATTTCTTATACAGGGTAACCAGCTTTTAAATCAATTATTAATTTTAATGTATGGGCATATAATTCTTCAAACTGTAATTAAAATAAAAACATAAATATGCAAATTAAGATGAATAACTTGCATTCTCAAGTTAGGCCTCACAATTAAGTGAATTAAAGTTTACATTACCCCACAATAATAATTTAAAGAAAAACTTTTAGAAGAAGTTTTATTGAGAGAACATCAAATTTGAGAGTAATTTGTCACAATTAAAGTTTAGAATCCTCATAATCATATTTGTTCAGAGAAGGTTTTTCAAACATTTCATACAATATCACAAATATAAAAATTCCAAAATTTTATAACATAACTAATTTTCATTATTATAACTTGCACTTTAACATTATTTAAAGTAATATTACTGAAATAATGCTTTTTAGTAAGACATTTATAATTTTCTGATTTAGTACAAAACTGAAAAACACCACAGCTTTCTCCAAATATAAACACATCTGTTTGTTAGGCAAATCCACATTAACTAATTGATATATTATTTCACCGTTGGTTTAAAGTTATGCTTAGAGTTACTTATAAAAACCTGCATTCCCTATATAAAGGCAACTGGCCTTTTTGAACTGCATTTAAACATTCCATTCAATAATTGCATAATTTTTCTTGTAAGATCTAAATTTTCAAGAAGGAAAGCTATAGGGTATAAATTACAATCTGGGTGTTCTTGTTTTAAAACTGCATCAACTACTCCTTTAGATCGATCTACAAACACATGACAGGGGTATTTTAGATTAAATAATGTTAATACAGATCTGGGAATTGAAGCATCTTTAAAATTTTAGGCTGTTTTGCATTCAGTTGTCCATTTCTGTGGAGTATCCTAAGTAGATTTGGTAGGGAAGCTTATGCAAGATAAAAAAAAAAAAAAAAAAAAAAGTTAAAAAACTCAGAATTACTAACTTACTGATTACTAATTACTGACTGGCTATGTCCCCTTCCTGTCTTAAATCTAAGGTGCATCATCTGAAAATTAATCCATTTCATGTTTGTGTAATCATGCTGCAATACAGTAAATTTTCAGCCAACCAAATTAAATAAATTTTTATCTATAAATACTACTACTGCTGTTGCGTGAGACTTTTTTTCCTGTATTCCATGCGCTGCTGCTTATACTTGTTGCTTTTCTCCATTTTCAGAGAAAGCAAGTTTTCAAAATTGTGTGGATACATATCATCCATAGTGATACGTGAACCTGTTTAATTATGAAATCAAATTTTGTTCAAAAGCCATGCCTGTCTTTAAAGTGTCATCCGTTTATCTATGCAGCTGTTTAATTCAAATCCTCATCATATCATCATGCATACCGAAATATCACAATATAAATTATTTGATAGAATAGTTACCTGCTGCCTCAGATCTCAATGGAAGATTGAGGTAAATGTAAAGAATGAAGTAATTTTGGATATTAAATTAAAGTTAGTAACTCTGAGTTTCATATTTTTTAATCTTACATATACATATGTATGTAACTGCTAATAAAATTATATTAAATAAAATGGTAAATAGAATTAATGTTCTACAAATTTTAATTGTATTAAATACAATAAGTAGTAAAAATGTATATTATGCCCTTTTGTGTATGTCTATAAAATAAAAAAAATTTGAAAACACATCATATCTGGAAATTTATTTGCTAACCTTCGCATTGTGCATAATTTCTCAGCCAATCAGATTAAAGCAAAACTCCTAATATAAAAAGCTATTAACTTATAGTCTAGTCTACTAACTGTGTAACTAACATTTTTGCCACTTCGCTTTTCCAGTTGGCAACGTGTCGCTTAACCTCCGCTAGCTATTCTCTACTATCTGAGTTACAATGGCATGTCTAAAATTGTGGGGCATGTTTAGCACCCGTAGTATTCTATCATTTATGAAGCTATGTGCTGAGGAATTCATCATCCAAAATTATGTTTAACTTTCAAGCTGGGCTGTGCTTCTTCCAAAATTCCAACTGGTTATTCCACTGTGCAGCAGTTTTTCCGGCCATGACTGAAAGTGAATTGTTTTTATCTCCCACCAAAATTATAATATTACATATATGTAAAGTTCTATTATGTAGATATTGAATTTCACTCTTATTTTAAATAAATTGCTGACAAAGTTGTATTAGCAGTAGAAGCGGCAGAGCAGTCATTTTGACTGCTTTTATCATTTCACCTTGGATTCCAAAAAAAAAAAAAAAAAAAAAAAACTATCTTAAGAAGTCACAAATTTTTATATTTTCCTAAAAACCTCAAAAATTATTTGTACCAAATAAAATTAACAAAGATATTATTAGTTATACCTAAAAGTGCCACGAGCAGTCATATTGACTCCTAGTAATACTGGGTAGATTACTTTTTCTTCGAAAAATATCTGGTGTACGCATTCCTTTCATTCACTGATTTTATACAATATATAGTATATACTTCATTTCCACTCAGAAAACACCTTTTGATGAAAAACATCTGGCTTACACATTCCTTTTCATTCACTATTTATTTACAGTGGGAAATACTTTCCCACCTCCATGTCAACGGCCCACCCCTTTTTGGCGAAATGTTATAGTCATTAGTATGCAGTAGTTGATCAGTTTATGTTTTGTAGCATTTCATTCTTTCAAGCATGTTGTATAGGCAGCTCAAAGACTGTGATATCTGAGTCCAGCTGAAAATGAATCCCAATGTTGAAGAACATAATATTGATGATGATATGGATTACGAGCCTCTACAAAACTTTGAGGGAAATAATAGTTCTAGTGATTCTGAAGAGCAATCGGTGGGCCAAAGTTTTCAGCCTATCGATATTTACGCAGCAAGTATTTCGTCATCGATAATTGTGGCATGCACATTGGCTGAAACAGGTAAAAACTATTTATGTTTATGTATTGTTATTTTTGTTTTAACAATTTCTGAAGTACTTGAAATTTTTAAAAGCATAATGAATCATTTATTGTCAAAAATATACATCTACTTTTTTAGGTTCCGCTAATGTACAAAGAAGAGGATCAAAGAGAAAACATAATTTACCTAATTTAGGATACACACAGGCAAGAGGATATCTTTTCCAAAACCATGAAGAAAGCTCTAATGTCTCGAAAGATGAACCCATTGACTGTGACATCAACTTCACAAAATACAGCTGGGAAATATGGAGCTCAAAATGTGCTAAAAGAAATGCTGGGTTCAACATCTTCTGCAAAAAGAAATGTTGGGAGCAATCTTTTGAGTGCTTGTGGATGAATCGATGTTACAGCATATTAAAAACTACACAGAAGCAGAGGCAGTTTTGAACAATGAAGAAAATTGGACAGAGTCTTTAGAAGAGCTTGATGCTTTTATTGTTATTATTTGTGCAAGAAGAGCATATGGTTGCAATAATATGGATTATGATTTTTTGTCGAATAATACATGGGATCCTCCTTTTTTTCAAGAAACAATGTCTCGCAATCATTTTCGAGATATCATGAAGTATCTAAGATTTGACTTGAAGTAAACTAGGACTCAGTGTTTAGAAAGTGGTAAGTTTGCACGTTTTTCAGATATTTGGAATAAAATTTTTATACATAACTGTGTGATTTCTTATAAACCAAAAGAAAATCTCATTGTGGATGAGCAGTTATTTCCATCCAAAGCCAAGTGTAAGTTTATATAGTATATGCTGAATAAACCAGACAAATTTGGTAGTGCTAGTCAGTGTAGACTCGAAATTTATGTGGAATGCTTTTCCATATCTTGGAAAACATGCATCAAGAAGTGAAACTGAAAGTCTTCCTGAAAATTTAGTAATGCGTCTTTTAAGACATTATCTGAATTCAGGTAGAAATTTAACTGCAGACAATTATTTTTCCTCACTATCATTAGCTAAAAGACTTAAAATGAAAAACACAGGTTTTGTGGGCACAGTAAAAATACACCAAAAAGAAATTCCGCATGAAGTAAGAAAATAAAAAAACCTGGCTATTTGAAACCATTTTGCTAAAACATTATGAAACTACATTGACAGTCTATCAGGAAAAAAGGGAAAAAATGTCCTATTACTAAGTACTTTACATCCGAGTACAAATTTAGACTCACAAAATAAGAAGAAACTTCCAGAAACAGTAGAGTTCTACAACAAAAACCAAATGTGAAGTTGATATCCTTGACCAGATGACACATAAATATTCTGTTCGGGCTGCTTCACGTAGATGGCCTGTGCATGTTTTCTATAATATGCTGGATTTAGCAGGAACGAATGCCTACGATATCTGCCATAAATTGAGTGATAAAAATATTACAAAGCACAGCTTCCTATTTCAATTAGCAGATGAGTTAAGAGAGTTTCATTTAAACAAAAGAAAAAGCACAAGATTGCCCCAGGAAATTTTCAATTCTAGCAATAGACTCTCGAAGAAAAGACGTTAGTGCCAGACTGGACTTAGTAACAACAAACAAAACAAGTAATGTAGGTAAAAAATGTTCATATTATGTATGTGGAAAATGCACTTCCAGTACTAAAAAAGCTGTGTTGTGTAAAAATTGCGGGTACTATTCCGTTTTGTGGACCGTAAAAAATTGCAGCAAAAATGTATGTGCAAAAGCGCCAAATCTAGCAAATGCACCCATTTAACAGCGTGCCAAATCTAGCGTACACACTGATTTCAGATTGCATAAGCTTATATAGTTCTATATTTCTTAAGACGGTATTTAAATATTAGTTTAATTTTTAAATCCTTTTTTGATATCCTATGGATTTAACAATTTGGGAATTGCCCATGACAAAAAGTCTGCAATAGAATTTTGGGGTAAAGTGCAGAATCGCCCACTACTTGGCATGCAATTTTTAAGATTGCACATACTCGGTATCCAGGTACACATCGACCTATTTTCACTTCAAAAAAAAAAAAAAAATTCCAGAATTGCACAAAAATGGCACTGTGCATAACCCTTGACTTATCTATGTACACATCGACCAATTTTCACTTAGAAAGTAAAAGAAAATTGACAAAAATCGAATTGTTTTTACCCTTGTAAAAGGCGGCAAACAAATAAGTGGGCAATTCTGCACTTTACCGAGAATTTTTTCAAAGAAAAGGCATCATTCATTATAGAAAATTATGTTTGAACAACCAACGAGATGAAACTATGCTTTAGCGATAACTTGGTAGCGAAATAGTGATGCAGACATCCATTCAGTTATGTTTAGCAATTTTTATTTAAATTATAATAATGATTTGAAATAGTTATTTACTCTTATGCTTCCATTCAGTCATGTTTAGAATTTTATATAAATTATAATAATAAAAAAGTATTATATAAAATTAACCTTTTATCTAAATTAAAACATCAATCTTAGATGGTTATTTACTATTATACTTCCTTTCTTGCGTTAGGGTTGCCACAATTATTTTTGGCAGCACTGGCATCAACAATAGTTTGGCAATTTTTTACAGCTCTCAAAACCGAATAGTACCAAATTGTGAAAAGCTAAAAAATGTGTTTTATTAACGTATTTAAGTTGAAATTTATAATAAAATATCTATTTTGTTTTAAAATAATCTGTTATTCTGTAAAGAAGTTCTTAAACAACTATAACTTATATTCTTAAAAGCATTATAAAGCATTTGCATTATGATATATACATTTATTTCTCTGAGCAGTCAATTGGACTGCCATTGGCGCTTCTAGGTAGGGAGAAAGCTTAACGCTTCTAGTGTTAAATACTATAATATACTACTAAAAATATATGTGTGTCAAAAAAAAAAGTGTGTTATGCAGATATTGAATTGAGTGCCATTTTACCGTTTACCATGTCCAGTTTCAGGAATGATTTATAATATGCGACAACGAATCCTTTTTTTTCTCCTTTTAAACCTCAATTGCACTATAAGATGCAAGTCTTCAATATTATTTTATTGTGATTCACTACTAAAAGTTTCAATTTTAATATTATTGGCTGCAATTTTTATGATCTCTGCATTCTTATGAAACTATAACAATGACCATATCATATGAGCATTCCCAAACAACATGCAGCAGTTTTGGAAAAGAAACACATAGAAAAAGTAATACATAACAAAATTCCAAAGGCTAAATATGTACTAATTTAGGATTTAATAAAGGAAATTCAGATAAATAAAAATAAAGATGTAACAGTTTTTAAGTAATAAAATTATATCTATGTAGATGTTTATAATTTTGTTTGTATCATTAATTATAAACTTGGATTTTTTCTTATTTTAGCATGGTTAATATTTGTGCAAACAGTAATGTCCTTAGCCATCATATTTTCTTTTATATCTTTGATGTGTACCAGTATCATACTTATGCGTTTTCTTATCAAGTTTGAAGTCTTTATTATTGCTGCTGCATTCCTTCTAGAAGCCACTACAAGTAAGTGTGTGAAAACTTTTATTTTATATATTTCTAGCTCAGTTATTGAGCTTCAACTGGATAACTATGCCATCACATGCAATGTTGTAGAAACAAAATGAATGTTTAGAATGCTTTATAATTTTTGCAACTGCCTTTGATCAATCATCTAAATCTGGAAATCTTTGAAATTTACAGTTTCTAACAGTTGCCAAACTGTTTCTAATTCTTAATGGAAGTAAATGCTGTTAGCATTTAAATACTATTTCTATTGCTCACATATCACATTAACTTCATTTTCTGCAATAAATATGGAAAACATGTAATATTTATTGTAATTGTTAAAAGCCATGGATATTTTTTGCAGTATTGCTTTCACAGATTTTTAGAACATTTGTTGATGACATGATTGAGATTCAAGATGGCTTGCATATTAAATGAATCTGTGGCATACCTAGGTACAAAATTGATCAGTTTATCAAGTCAATCTGTCAACTCATGTAATTGAGTAATAAACATTCAGACATAATTGAATAAAACTTTCAGGCAAACTTCTGTTTTTATTTTATATTTCTTTTAAACTCTGAACAAATTTAGTACATTTTATAGGCAGTTTTTGTAAAAGTTGAAAAGTGTGAGTAAAGATTAAAATAAAGTTAGTTACACATATGACTGTGTTAATATAAAAGTATAAAAGAAACTATCAATTTTGGACAGTGCCTACCTTCATTTCTGCTGTTTTAAAAGAAACTAGTAAAAAGAAGCTTCAAGATATACACCAAAGAAAAACCGGAAATTGATTTCTAAATAGTTTCCGTGGTTTTCTCAAAAGAAAAAAAAAAAAAAAGGGAAGAAATTAGGAAACATTAGTGCATGCACAAGCTGTTTAAAAATGGTGACTATGAGCTTCGTTTTCATCAAATATTGATCTTGGATATTATTTCCCATCCAAAATTTCTTAGAATAAGATGTAGAATTTTACAGAAACAACTTAACTTTTTATGAATATAAAATATTAACTTTTTTAAATGAAAATCTGGGGTTATTTGAGAGTAAATTTATTGGGTTAGATCATTTATTGATGCCTGTTAATTTTGAAGTTTTTAAAAAACAAACTTTGGGAGTAGTCATAAAATAAAACTTCTCATTTACCAATTATGATTCATTTTAGAAAAAAACAGTATCTGTTATTAAATTTGTTATCAGTTTAATATGTAGTAAAATATTCATTAAATTATCCATTTTTTTTATCTTATCCATGCAAATTTTTATATAACATGCAATGAAGCATAATGAAACTCACAAATACAGAATTCTTATCATTCATACTATTTGAACTGTTTTCATTTAAACTCATATCATTTTAACAAATTTTTAATAGGAAGCAGCATATTTGCAGTAAATTTTAATTATGTATGTATATTTAAAATGTGTTTTATGTGAAATTTTAATATTGTTGTGTAGAGAATTGTCTGATCGCGTTATAAAAAAAAACTAGGTGAATGATTTTCTGATTTAAGGAAATCTTAATTTTATTTGATTCTGAATTATTTATTTTAATGCTTTAATTTTGGGGAAAAACAGATGCTTCTGGGAATATTATTTAGTTTAAAAGAATATTATTTATTTTTCTTTTATTTGCAATTTTTGTACAAGCTTTGATTCATTGTGAAAAGAAGCAGGGAAAGGGAGGCAATTTTGCTAAGTCATGATTTCGCGCGCTTTGTCCTTTAGAATGTTCTAGAAGAAATTTCATTGTGCAGTTGACCTTAGGACAGGAAGTACGTGACAGAAGGGTCAGAGGTTGCCACTTAACCTTCGATGTAAGTCATTCAGGTTTTGGCGATCGGAAGGTCCGGTTGTTGGCTAGGTGAAGGAGGGCGCGCATGCGATCACCCTTATTTCCGCATTCAGGGGTTGTTGAAAACGCAAATTTTGCCAAAATTAAGGGGGGGGCGATAATTGAAGCCATAGTGGGAGCCCGCGTTTGTGAAGGAGACGAAGAAAATTCGAGGTTTGAATCACTTTTCGTGCGAGACTTGCTTGCGGAACTTACTTTTGGACGTTACTCTTGAAACTTGCTCTTGGGGTTGAGCAATAGAAACGATGTAATTTACGAAGAGAGATGTTTTTCCGGCGGGGAGCGGCAAATATGCTCCCCAGCCTTGTTTTGACTAAGAGGCGAGAGACTTTACTCACTTACTCTTGGAATCACTTACTGGGTGGACTTACTTTTGGGCTAAGATTGTAACTTCGAGCTTGCTCTTGGGATGAGCGAGAGAAGGCGAGCTGTAATTGCCTAGAGAGACGTTTCCGGCCGGGAGCTGCAAACATGCTCCCCTGCCGCGTTCTGGTTAAAAGGCGAAATTGAACCGGGCGAGTGACTTAAGACTTTCAAGACCAGGCGGACAGCCGTGCTGGGCAGCAGTGCTCCTGTTTCTGTTTTCCAGAGTGAAAATTGCTTCGTCGTTATGAAAACCAATTACCTGCCGTGTGTGTTTCGCCAATAGTGCCAGGACAGGACGATGTCCTCTGAAACTTCCATTTGCAACCATGGATAAGCGCCGCCGACGTCAACTCTTATTAGGATACGAGTCCTCCACTTCAAGATGTACACCACAAGATAAGTTTATTTTTTGAACTTTAAGTAAGGTTTCAACAACTTCCTTGGAATGTAAAAACAACGTCGAATCTTAAATTAATTCTCAGGCTTTCAATTGTTTCCCTTTCCCCTTCTAAATTACCGAGACAAACCTTAAGGTCTTTATATGAATTAGGATGTAATAATTTAAGTTGTTTGTGTAATCTTCCTTAGAACAGATGTGAATTGCAAATAATATGTTTTTTTAACCTCTTAGAAATTATAGAACGGGTACCCGTGAAATTAAAAGAGTCATGCAATAGATTTGCAAATCATGAATTTAAATGTAACAAAAAGTAAATGACAAATTGAAGAATTCCCCTGTGTCTAAAATAAGTAAATTAAAAATGTAACACAAATAAGAAATTTGACTCTCTGATTAGGATAAGATTTAATTTTTAATTGTGAGGAATTTGAATAAACTGATATTTAATCTGGAAACCTATTACTTATGTTTTCTTTATATCTGTTATGTTTTTCTTATATATTTATTGATTTTACATGTTGTTGTTTATTCGATCCTCTCACGGCGCGGTCCCGGATGCATTTTCACAACGCAATGCATTAAAATTCACTTATACGATCACTAAAAGTTTGGTAATTAGCAAACTCTTAAGAGTTTAGTTTCTCAGTTGATTTTTAGTTACGGTTTCACATGTCTGTTTCTGCATTAGTTTCCTCCCTAAGAGGAAGTTGTAACACAGCATTAGTGCCCGTGATTTTTCGGCAAAGTAAAGAAACAGAACATAGGTTTTTCTTACTCAACATTGGTGCCGTAGCTTCATGACAATATCATAGTTGTCTGTTTAAAATACTGAGACTTCTGACCCTCCCCCAATTTATCATCTATTTAGGAAAATAGTTACATATTAAAGTATGCTAATAACTTACAATTATTTTTTGTTTCTGTTTTTCAGCTGTAATTATGTTTCTTGGAGTAAGTGTATTTGGTGGCATGTGTTATGACAGATCTTGGCTCCAATATCCTTCATTTAATCACTTGTCTTGGGCATATGGACTTGCAGTTGTTTCCATGTTTTTTCATGGTTTTGCTACTTGTTATTTATATGCCGATACCAAAAGAGCACGTGAGCACAGACGTCGAGCAAGTAATTTAGTATATAACATGCAGCCTAGATTTTAAATCAAAATATCTAGTTTTTATGGATTCTTCCATTTTTATAAGCTTTTTAAACTTTTAAAAGTGTATCATATTTATTCCATTCATGTTTGATTTTAACTTTTAATTTCCTGCCTAAACGAAGAATGCATGATTTGAGAAAAGGAGGATGATATATCACATAAAAAGATTATTGTCTAATTTACACTAATGTTAAATCTCAATGTTATCACAATTTTCCATATTAGTAAGGCTGTTTAAGTAACAATCAAATGATGTTTTTTAATATTAAATGTATAAAATAATTAAGAATATGTGCATTTTTTATTTTCAGGTAAAAAAAAAAAAATGTCAAATGCATGAATAATGTTGACTAAGAACAGTGCTTTCAGATATGTTTAAAGAGTACTTTTAATAGTTATTTCATACTATATTTTCTGAAGTTATTTTACAGTGGTAAAACTAGATTAGTGAAAATGAATACATCATTCATTTACTTTGTACACTATCATTTACAATTTCTTTGATTTATTATTATTATTTATTCACTTAATTTCCGTTAATACACTCTTGTAAATCATGAGTTGACACAAGGTATTTTACATTTTTTGTATAAAAGTTCCTGGCCACCTTAAAAGTCAATAATACAGTTGATAATTTATCATTTTAATGTATAGAATCATGCTTATTTATGCAATTTGTATTTTATTATATCTATAATTAACATGAAAGCTTTTTAACTAATGGAACATCAAAATATCTACAGTATTTTCTATATTTTTTGCACTAAAAGAAAAGAAAATAAATGAAGAGATGTATTTAAATGTTAAATTAATTAAATATTACTTTAATATATTCAGAAGTTATGTAGCCTATTTCAAATGCTGTTATACTTTTTTTAGGTTAGTACTATATTTTAGTGTCATATTCTCATTGTAGAAAGAATTAACAATGTTATATATACCTTAGACTTTTCCAGTTCATAAAATTGTAGATTACTTTAATAATTATATCAAAAATTATATAAAAGCCTTAACTGTATAGAATATTTTTATATAGAGAGATATAACTGTTCATTATGGTAGTGTAATAATCAGTAACTGTAAACAATCAATAGGAACAGACCCATTAGACAGGATTTATTTTTGAGAAGGCAAGTAAAAAAAAATGTAAATCCTGCAAGTTCATACAGTTATCTATCAACGAGCAGACTTCTGTTAAAGCAAGATTCACTCTTTAAATAAGAGATAAATATGTATTGAAATACTGTGTTAAAATGTAATGTCTTTTACACATATCTTTTAGAACAGTTTAAAGATTTTTCGTTTAAAGAATTGTTTTAAAATGAATCTCAGTCATATCTTAAATAATATATATTTTAATATCATTAAGGCGATAATATATTTTGAAGCATCAAAATTATCCTTTGCCATCTTAATACATATAATGAGACATTTTGTTATAAAATATTTATCTGGTCATGTCACAAAATGATTAAAAATAGCTATTGATGGTAATTGTTTTTTCACTTTGCATTTTTTATATTTAATGTGTGATTTTGAAATCTATAAGATTTTTAAATATGTTAAATTCATCTGTTTTTGACTGTGATAATTTTTTATTGGTTATTGTTTTATATTTGATAAAAAATTGGCAAAATTTAAAGCATGTTTAAACTTGAAATTCATAATTTACATTTCACATTCCATGTCTTTGTTTTAAATTTCATTAACATTTATCCGTCCAAGTTAAGCTATTTATTGAGATCTGGTTTTACAAAAAATTTTGTATTGATGGTGACTGTTTTTTGTATTATATGTATTTTATTTCAAATAAAGGTATTTAAAAAACAAAAATATTTGTTTCAGATTAGCTTACTGTATGAATTAAAATGAATACATAGCTTCTTACTTCAAAAAATACAAACTCTCTTAAGAAGCTTTTAAAATTGTTGTATAACATTTTAAAACTGATAAAAGAGTATGCAAAAATATCATTCTATTAAGCTAATTAACAGCTTAATTTATATTTTCCAATCATGAAAGCCATCTTAAAATATTTTTCTATTTGTATTAATATGCATAAAAATCATATGAAATGATTAAAATTAAATACTACAGTTTAAATTGAGATATTACTAGAAATATTCACAATTTATGTGACATAACAGCAGTATTAAAGCTAGTACACTGCTCGACATTGAAAATGCAACACCAAGAAGGAGTGGTCAGAAAGTGATGAAATTTGGAAAAAAGACATAGACAACAAGCAGCAATAAGTGATCTTTATTTCAAAATGATAGTCAGAATACAAAGTGAGAATGGCGTCGGCTCATGTAGGACCACCGCGGAGAGCAATGCAGGAAGAAACACGTCTAGGCATAGAGTCAATAAATGTGCGAATGGCATCCTGAAGGATGGCTCTCCATTCCCTTTCAACCATTTGCCACAATTTGTCTTCTGAACGAGGCAGAGGCAGAGTCTGCAAACGGCATCCAATCACATCCCACACATGTTGGATTGGTGACAGGTCAGGAGAGTACGGTGGCCAGGGAAGCATCTATATACCTTGCAGAGCATGTTGGCAGATACGAGCACCATGTGGTTGGACGTTATCCTGCTGAAAAATTGCATTAGGCAGCCCCTGAAGGTAGGGGATTGCCACTGGCCGCAGTACATTATCCAAGTATCGTTGGGACGTCATAGTGCCCTGAATACGAACTAGAGGTGACCTGGAATTGTAGGCAATAGCGCCCCAAACCACTATGCTACGTTGTCATGTGGTGGGCCATTCCACAGTTACTGCCGGATTAGATCTGTCTCCACGTCGACGCCACACACGTATGCGGCGACTGTGACTAGATAAACAGAAGCGTAACTAATCTGAAAACACGTTTCGCCATTCTGTCATTCACATCGCTCCAGTCCGGCACCATTCTAAACGTTGGCGGTTCTAAATGCTGTGGGGTCAATGGCAGTCTTCTTAACCCACGTCGTGAGTGGAGGCCACGTTCAACCAATCGACGGGAAATGGTTCTGGTCGACACGGGAACATCCAGGGTATCTTACACATGCTGCAGAATCGCTGTACAAGTGACTTGCGGGATCGCCACAGCTTGTCAGCAGATGAGTCGATCCACGTGTGCTGACGTCACTCTGGCTGCACCTGCACCCCTCCTTCTTCCTATATTTCCTTGCTCCAACCATGTTTGCCATAGCCGATGCACCTGCCCTCGCATCCATGGTGGGTATCAGCTACGATTTAACATAAGGACCAACCCGCCCTTCAGTCGATCACCATACCCCTCGTAAAATGTCTATCTGGCTGGAAGTTGCCTTCGTTGACAGTCGCCTGGCATTCTTCCCTTTTACACGTATCCTCCGGGACAGAAACCAACTTTCTTTGATAATTTCGTCTGGCAGAAATAATGACACAAATATTGCCCATTCTGCACGTTCGTTCCCTTATATCTTACATCACGTGCGTCGGAGAGCTGTGTATTTCGCATCTTTCGCATAACTCAGTGACGTGCGCCTACTCTAAAATTTGCATAAATTTCTGACCACTCCTTCTTGGTGTTGCATTTTCAATGTCGAGCAGTGTATTTTAAATATGATTTTATGCTAAACAATTTTATGCAGTTTCCATTCAGTAAGGTTTAAAAAAAAAAAAAAAAACTTTTATAACACACAATTTATTTTGATTTAATACACATCCAAAACCATCATTTCTCAAATCTGCATTTGAAAATTTAATTCTTAAAAAATTCTTAGTGATACAGAAGTTCCTTGAACTGGCAGTTTTTTAATAAATGTAATCCAGGTAACACATAGTTGGCAATTGTAGTTTTACCAGGAGACTCCTGGTTTTTCATTATATCTTTCTGTAGCTCACTAAATCTCCCATTTTAAATTTTTAGACTTATCAAAATGTTTTTTTTTATTTCCCAGTAATAAATTAAATTTATTGAATTAATCCAACTTTCTTATTAAATTTGAATTGTCTTAATTTATTATAGACATTTGTAGAACTTTATATGAAGATTCATGTAATGTTTAATCAATTAGAATATGTACTACATTATTATGTATCGTGTTAAAAAGTACTTTGATAAATTAAAGTATTCCTTCCCTAAATTTCAAAAGTATAAGAGAATTGCAAATCCTAATAGTTGATTAGTCTGAATCATGCATTAAAAGGCTAATTCAAGTCAGTTTGGAGTTCTTTTAAAATGGCGCTGTCATGCAATGTGAAAAACCTCCTAATTTCTCATATTTCAAGGTTGGCAGCTGTGGTAACACGTTTTGTATTCTAAAAATGAAATAATTTTTGTTGATCTTGCTTTCTTTCTTTTGAGGAAAGTACATTCTATGCTACAAAAAATTTAAAACTTTTGTATGATATACTAAACACTTTGTTCTAATTTTCAAATATGTTTTTCTATTTTTTTTTTTAGTTATAATCAACAACCAGTTATAACAAAAGAAGACAGAGATCTTTGCAAAAAGACTTTTATTTTCAAAAATAACGCAGTATTTTGAAAAGTGATTACTAGTGATTTTCTTTATATTTAATGCATATGCCACTTCTCTGGAAAGAATAAAATAAGTGAGAACAGCACACATTGCACAGAGATGGCCATTTGATAGAATTTTAAAATATGAAAATTATTTTAAAATGTTGCTTACCTATATGTGTAAATATGATAATTAAGGTTTTCTCTGCAGTAGGCATGAAGACCAACATGTAGAGTTCAAATTTAGGCTTAAACCATGTAATTCGTTTGATATGAAGTACTGGGCATATTGTTTCCAGTAGAAGTTACAATTACGTACGTTTCATTCTTTCTTCCCTAAGATTTAATATGCATCATTAGCCGAGCATGTTGTTTCTACTGTTTTGTTAACCGTTTTATTCTTGAATCAGCATTGTCATGCTAGAAAGTCGTAGATGTGGAATTATTTGCCTATCAATCTTTATTTTAATAGCTCACAGCACTCAATTTAAAATTACTGTGCTCATAATATAATTTTAAAAATTGTACTGATTTTTAAAAAGCATGATTTTTTATTTCAAATTATATTTCAAAAGTAAAACTGATGTTTGTTACAACACAAGCCACAGTTAAAGGACTTGCATGTAGCTTGCAAGTCAAGCTTTGGCCATGCTTGATACATAATTTTGATCTGTCATTTTTATATGCTTTCATTTAACTCCCTCATGGTGTGTGTCACTGTGGTACTGGTAAATTTTTAAATAGTACCAGTGTTACTATAATGGTTTGAAGAATAATAAATCATAAAAATTTAGATTATAAATCACAATAATGATCTACAGTGCCTTGGGGGTCACTGGTAACCCCCCACTACGAAAAATGCATTAAGCACAATTATATAATTTGCATTATCTTCTGTAGATAATATATCATTTATGATTTTTTATCATACATCACATAATAAAAATTTCAAGTTGGCATCATGAAATACATGAATTTTAATGAAGAAATTATGTATTTTCATAGTAAGGGTGTAAATTTAAAACTCGTAAAATATTCTCTGAACTAAAATGAAAAAATTATCTTCACAAAATTCATGTACAATTTTATATCCTGAATAATGAGAGTGCAAGTACCTGCGTAATTAATCTAATCATCAAACTCATCAAGCATGTAAAGAATTTTGTAAAGAGAATTATTCAATATTTTGTTACCATTGAATATTTATAAATTTTAAATAAAAGCTTATTTTATATAAAAAAATTCTTTTGTTTTAGTATGAAAGTATTTTTACAATCTGTTAGACTAAGTAAAGTTTAAATCTTGGGGATTATCAAACTGAATATAAAGAATTGTATTCATTTGCTTAAAAGTGTATGATTGCATACTTAATTTTATGGGAGCTTTCTTGGGCAGCCTGCTGTTCTCTAATAGAAATTAAGAGGTTTCCCATTTCAGCCCTCCTCCTCCCTTCATTTTCTCAATTTTTTATTATTATTTGTGCTGCCTTCATTTTTGGTTATCAAAATTATATAATTTCTTGAAATAACCATCCAGATGTATAGTGGAGTAACTGAAAGTTCTTTATTGCAATGCCTGTTTGTAATTACTTCAATTTTAAGAGTCTTTATGTAGATGGATTTGCTGATAATTTTTAACTTAATTATTTTTAACTTTAATTATTTTTGAATGTGGTTTATCTTTTAAATATTTAACTACATATACACTACTTTAATAAAAATATATTACTTATATTTTATTATATTTATTATTGTTGGTAAGTCTCACAATACTAGTTTTGTGTTCAATGATTCTGCCTTTCAGATATTAATCTTCCTTACACAGCTGAGTCAATGCAAAAACTGACAGAGCCAAGGTTTTTGTCAGTTATCAAGGAGTGCCTGCTAAAGAACTTTCATATTTTGAGAGTCAATTATTTCGGAACTAACAATGGGGAGCAGAATATGAAAAACAACTAAGCAAAACATTTTCATATTTAGTACTTCTACAAAAATCTGAAATCATATACAAAAAGTACTTTTTAGAAATTCATATTTGAAAGTCTTCATCATAGTTTCTATATAATCCTTAGTCCCCGGTGAAAATTTTAATGAATGAAATCTCAAGTAATTTTGATCATATGACAGTTTTTTTTTTTTTTTTTTTCCATATGTATTTTGCAAGTTCAGCTTATTATATTGTAAATATTTTTATTAAAAGGTTTCATCTGAACTACATAGTCATAGTATGAAAATTTACTTCATTTGCTGTATTTGAAACCTGAAACACAATGGGTTTAGGACCAGTTTTCCAAGAGATATTGAGTAGTATAATCTTTTTGAAATATTCTGAGTGAATTTAACACTTCATCACAAAAAAAACTTTATAAATTAGTTTTATTGCTAATGATGAATATTAACAAGTATATACATTACTTAAATAAAATAAAATAAAATTATACATCATTTACATAAATCAATTTAAATTTAATGCTGTAGTAAACTGCTGATTTTGACTATTCTGTGTGTATAAGAATTCTTTAACACATGGCAATTGCTGTAACACTTCTTTAGTAAATATATTATCTAAAAAAAAAATCTACTATTGGTAAAATAATTATTATAATCTCATAAAAATAAAATACTGAAATGTTTCAAATGCAAGGTGATTATAAATGATTCATCAGGTTTTTAACACTGCATTTAAAAAAAAAAAAAGTGTTACACATAGAATAATGCTTACACAGCATTAAGTATCTAAGTTTATATCTCAATTTTAAAATTTGTGTTTGCCCCTAGATATCAGCACAAGCAGCAGCTGCTTCCAAAATGGTGTTCATACAGCAAAAAACATTCTGTGCTTTAGAATAATAGAAGCTTTTATCCATTGTTACCTTTCATTCCAGAGACAGTATGGAACACAACTGCCACACTAATAAAGCTTTCTGTGATGGCACCAGAATTTTAACCAAAGTTGACAGGACAGCCATGTTTTCTAGATTTCACAGTTTGCGATATCTTTCTCTGAAAGTATATTAAAGACTGCTATATGCCTCCTCTGGTGAAAGCTTTGGTTAGGTTCAAAATTGCATTACCATTTCTTATGGCATTAGTAGGAAGATAATAATGCAGTTATGGACTACATTCAAAGATTGAATGGCAACTTGTCATATGATCAGAGGATATTATCTGGATCGTCCAACAGCACAAAGGTCGCACACATAGTTATATTGTTCAACTCAAGAACAAATTAGCCTATGTTCAGTTGTACAAAATTATTCATCAGATAAGTAAAATTTATGGAAAATGCAATGAATGAAGGATACAAAAGTGGGTTAGGATGTTTAACAAAGGAATGGAATATGTCTATGATGAAGAGTGCACCAGATGCTTCTTTATTACATGAAATTGTGACTGAAATTTGTACTACAAAAAACTGTATTTGCGATAGGTACCGAAAATACTAATGGACATTCAAAAATGGAAATGCATGGAAGCAGCCTTGGAATTTTTACAGCATTATGTAACAGAAGGAAATGATTTTTTGAAAAGGAACAGGTGATGGAACATGGATTTGTTATGAGACACCTAAAATGGTAGCACACTGATGCCCTCAAACACAAGAAACAAAGCCACCTCTTCAAGAAAAATCATGTGCACCATGTTCTGGTACTGACAAGAAATTTTTTTCATGGACTGGATGGAACGAGGCACAACAATCAATGCTACAGCTTACTGAGATGCACTGAAGAAGTTATGGTATGTGATACAGAACAAAAGGCATGGACTAGTGACTTCTGATATTATGTTCGTGCCTGGTAATGGACGATGCTGCTTGATTCATTTCACTGAGAACAATTATGTCACTCTCCTTATAGTCTGGACCTAGCTCCATCCAACTTCCATTTGCTTCTTCATCTCAAGAAATTTCTTGATACCCTGCATTTTGCAAGTGATGATGAGATCAAGATAAATGTCCAAAACTGGTTCAGATTGCAGGTGGCTAAATTTTATGAAACAAGTACATTGCAATTAGTGCCAAGATATGACACACTTCAATTTGCATGGTGAATATGTTGAAGAGTAATTTAAGGTGCACATTTTTCTATTATAAAGTACAAACGAAAATAAACTGCTAATCTTTTTTAATACCCAAATGGTACTTACTTTGTGGATGAGCTTTGTATGTACAAATATTTGGATAATTAACATTTAATTTCATGTCAATGTGCATTTTTTTTTTTTTTAAATACAGTCTGTTAAGCCTGATGCATCATTTAAATTACCTTGTATTAATTTGATAAATAGTTGAATTATTTAAGTTTTCTAAATAAATATTTCACAATTAAAATTCTTTTTCAAAATTGAGAGAATAAAACATATTACATGTAACAACAGTAGAGCTGAACTGGTAAAATTGAACACTTAACACAGGTGTTAAGAGTTCCAACCATAGCATACAGTTACAAATTTGTGCTTGTTTTTGTTTCCCAAAAACAGAACTATTAATACTTTACTATTTATTAGAAACCTATCCAGTAACAAAGAGTGGATTGATACATATATATGCTACATTTCTACAATAAAGTAAGCTGCAGAAAAGAAAAATTAAGAGGAATAATAAAAATCATGTCTAGAGTGCAATACATTCATCAGTCTTTAAGTAACGCATTGTCTATCTGTTAATGCCTATACATGCTGTTAAGAATACAAAATTATTAAATGTTTTACATATACTAACTCTAGAAATCAAATATGAAAACATAATATGAATTTTTTCAGGCACCAATGTACTTAATATGATTGTTTTATCAGAAAGTAAATGCAAACAATGCTGTCATGTAAGCTAGGCTATACACTAATGATTCAATACTCCATCTTTATGGCATGTAGTATAAACACACAGTTTTCTCTAAATGGTAAAGGAAATACGAACACATAATTTTCTCTAAATTGTAATTTTGAATTTGGTAATATACATAAAAATATTATAAAAAAGTAAATGTTTATATAATTTATAAACAGAGGTATAGTTCAATACTTATAAAATACAGGTACAATGCCATTTTCAGTAGCATTTAAGTTATAAAACTTTTGGAGGTGGAATGCTTTTCAATGTGTATATTCCAAGATGGATCTTGAAAAAGTAGAATATCCACCTCCTTTTAATGTTAGGAGATTATAATAATGTCAGAATGGTGCTCAGATTCATTGCAGGATGTTCATATAATGGTATGAGAAAAGACATTTTAAATAGCAATGGCATTTGTGATTAAAAAAAAAAAAATTATTATTTTGTTAAAAACATATAAAAAATTTTTATGCAAATGTTAAGTTATACAAATAGAATGTTTTGTGAAGGCACAGAAAAATATTGTGCAATTTCTTGGAACTTATCCTGAAGTTTCTACTTAAGTCATAATTCTGAAAATTATTTTGTATTTATTTATTTTTGTATAATTGATACATTGGATACTTTTATAGTAAGAATGAAAATTTCAGTAGGTAGAAACATATACTCCATTGTTTATATTACAATGGTATCTAAATTTTATGAATGTTTTCATAAAACATAAGGATTAATGTAAGCAGAACGGAGAAAATTGCTTTATCTCTTATGTTTGGTACTTAATACCAAATACATGTACCATGGTATTAAATCTTTATTTGTTTTCTTATATATGTTTGGTTTTACTAAAATTTTAATGATTTAGTTTAATACATTATCCACAAATTTATACCAATCTCTGTGTACAAACATTGCCCAAATAAAATGCATATTCGACACCTCCATGAAACTCAGTCTTTTTGCAATTCCCATAGAAAACAACAGCAGTTTCAACTTATTATAACTCCAAATTGGCAAGATGATTTTTTTCCTTCAAGATTCAAGATAATAAAAATATCCGAGTTATAATCAGGATGATCACAGACAGGTTTCCAAAACACTAAATATTCCACAATTTCTAGACACATAGAATATTCCAGAATCCCAGAAACGTTATGGATTCATAAATTTGCCTAACAGCTTGCCAGCATAAAGTTTTTCAATAGTTACAAATACTTAGCAAAGAAGCATCAACCATGTCTCAGAACAATATCTGCAAAGAAACTCTCTAAAGAGTTTATGTATACCATCGGGAGCTATTATTTCCAGCTAATTGCTAACAGCAAGCTCAAAAAATTTGGTCAGCACCAAAAAATGAATAGTTTGTATTCTATTAACTTAAACATGTGTGTACATACAGAGCTATCATAAAACTGTATTCTCAATCACTTAGGCAATACTTCTTTTATTGATGGATTAGATTTGCAGACCAATTCTAAAGATTAAACCTGATATTAGCTCATTAAAATTATGGAAAGGGATTAGCTTGGAAATGGCTGTTTGTTATGATGTTGAATGAACTTATAAAAGTGCACACCTTCAACAGAGGTTTTACTGCTGGTAAGAGATACACCGATGGCATGTTGGGACTTTATATTAGGCTTTATCGAGCTACCAGCAGTTCAATAACTTGCGTAAATGATGATAAAGGCTTCAATGACCTCAGAAGAATAATGATTTTTTTTAGATGAAGATACCCAGCAAAAGCAGTATAGCTATATACAGTACAAAGTCTGACATGCAACCATGTTGGGACTTCAACAATTCCAGTTTTCATATCTCAGTTTAGATTTCAGATCAGCTGTATAGATTATAAAATTAAAAATGTGAAATAATGAAGCATTAAAGGAATCAAAATCTACAAAAAATTCCTTAATATTTATTTGTTTGCTTTATTAAACATTTCTTTCAATGTAAATTGTTCAAGTTGCTTTGTTTTTTGTACTAATGCTTTCTATTTAATTTTACAGACACACATAATTTCTTATTCAGTTACGAAGTTCCATTGCTGAAATCCTTTAATTGGCATGTCAAGAGTTTCTCATAAATTGTCAATCAAAATTTCTTTGTTCTTAGCAACCTCTCTGTTACTTTCTTCACTATTGGTAGCAATATTTTCTGGATTTAGAACCATACTATAGATTTCACCGTCTGTTAGGTAACTGATCAATGGGGCATTATCATTGCAATAAAAAATTTCTCATATCAGTGTCATTTATTACCGCTTCTCCACATTTCATTTGTTGCTAATAGGTGGGAGGAATAAGAAAGGGAAAAAATCTTGTTAAATAAACATTGTCACATTAAAAAACAAAGGAAAAAACATTACTACACGAAAGATTATCATACTAACACATTGAGTTTCTTCCTTCGTAACTGTGTGAAATATTCACAAAGTTTAGAGATTTTTCATAATTTTTAGATACCAACTGTAATGTTTTCTAAAAGTTATGAAAATATTACACTGTAATAAGTTTCCACAAGCAATTCATTACATATTTCATGATAGATAAGCACTATAAACTTCCACTGCATGTAATTAAAACCAAAATTACACAATTTATAAAAATAAAGTGCTTCAGATTTGTTTTCATAATATTTCAATACACTACAGCAGAAAATTAAACAAGAATATTTTATTAGTGATATTTTTATGTAATGGAACTAACTTACCATGTTCAAGGTTTGAAAGCACTGTTACTTTACATGCAACAAGTTCTAGATCCTCTTCGTTTTGACAAATTTGGGCTAAATTAAAATGGATCACATTCCAGGATTTGCATCTGCTTTTCCAGTATGGTTCAACAAGATTCTGCTTACTACTATTACTGTAACAAATAAACCTACTGAGATTTAAATTGAAAAATATGTTGAATTTTGTATGCTATTTGCTGTATTTAGATTTGCTTAAAAAGTAAACTTATAAGATAATTTTAACCATTTGCAGACAGCTGCCACATAGCTGAGACCAAATAAATATAATATATATCCTTTAATATAAATAGGTATGTACACTGAATAAAAAACAAAAAAAAAAAAAAAAAAGACAGTTCTGTATTTCCTGGACCAATTGACGAAATTCAAATTGTGTTTTCTATGTCTCGAAAGCGCAACTTAGGATAGATATTAAATTTATATATGGCACTATTATAGGTATTTTGACACAAAATTGGACTTTTTCTGAAATAATACACCACTTTTTTTTCCATATTTTGATTCTACGATTCAAATTATGCTTAAATATTAAATTTTGTAAAATTTGGTGCAAAATTTACAGAGAAATTCAAAAATTTATCTTGACAATTTTTTTTTTTTTTTTTCTTGCACCAAGAATAATTCACTTGGCGAACCTCTTAATATGTGCAACCAATTTTTCTTTCCCTTCTATTATGTTGGAGAGGGGGAAAAAGGCACCTCATTCCCTACCTTTTTACATTGAGCAGGAAAACAGTCACAGAGTTTCTACTTCCAAATAATTTTAGCAATGTATCTAAACCATAATTGATGTTTTATCGCTTTCAACAAATATGCTAAATGTTAAAACGCACCGATGTATAAATTGACGTATATCTTCGGAAAATTTGAATATAAACTGTATATGTTGAAATTTTGAATAAAAAATTATAATTTTTTGCTGGTATTGCTTAGAAATACGTCTACTTTAAGATGATGGTAAAAATTTTATAGATTATAATTAAAAAATGTTTTTAAAAAATTATAAAATATATAAAATTCTAAAAATAAATCAAAAAATGGGTGAATTTTATTTGGAATGAACCAAATTTCGAATTTGTGAAAGGAAGAATCAAATAAGTTTAATAAAAAAAGAGAGATTAATAAATATATACCAAACTCAATTAAAATTAAGGAGCTAAAATTTTGAGAGCTAATTTTTTAAAATCTACTCATACAATTTTTACAAAACTTGGTAGTTTGGTGTAATTTGAGTCATAGAATCAAAATATGGAAAACAATTGGTATGTTATTTCAGAAAATTTTTTCTGTTTTCCGATTTTGTGTCAAAATACCTATATTAGAACAATGCTATATATAAATCTGGTACATATTCTAACGAAAACGCAAGTTGAATTTCGTCAATCGGCCCAGTAGAACGGGAGATATAGAACTGTTCCCCTTTTGAGGGAGGGCACAGTGTACATATATATATATACGCACACTGTTGGACATTAAAATTGCTACATTAGGAAGGAAAACTAATAGCAGTATTTTATTTATTGTACATATACAGTATAGTAGGAGAAAGACATGGTTAAATCTGCAGGAGGTTTGGGGTACACAGTAGACGGAACTGTCTCGTTTGGCAGCAAAAGCGACTGTAATCCGATTGGGCATCCATTCGAACTGAGCTTGGAGAACAGATAAGGCTATTTCATTCCATGCGACTTCAGCACTGTATCTGAATTAAGCAATCGCAGTGTTTGATGTGTGGTTACATGTCAGTATTTCGGACACTTATGACCGAATGTTCTTAGTGGGTGAGAAATCTGGAGAACATGCTGGCCAGGTCAGCAGTTGAACATGATTTGCTTAGAAAAAAACCCAGACAGCACTGGTGACATGCGATCATGTATTATCTTGTTGAGAGATTGCCTCATGCAGGCCTCAAAGATAGAGCACAGCCACAGATCTTAACACATCAGAAATGTAACATCAACTGACCACAATACCAGCTGTAACATCAACTGACCGCAATACCGGCTATGTGAACAGGATGTGTATCCAATAGCACTCCATACCAGAATGTCAGATACTGAGCCCGAGATGATTACGAATACAAGCTAGCAACGTTCGTTCTCCTCGGTGTCTTCATGCACGGATACGTCCATTATGATGTTATACACAGAATTGAGATTCATCTGAAAAAATTATATGGCACTACTCCTGTATCCAGGCTTATTGTTCATCGCACCACTGCTGGAGTGCCTGTCTCTGTTTTAGCGTCAAAGGAAGCCACAAAAACACTGGTCATGTTAACTGTCCATGATGCGGCACACTTCGTGCAGACAAGAAGGATGACCACTGGGAGTACCACCTGCTGTTGAAATTTTTTTGCCATCCAGATGAGATAATGGTTCATGAGACTAACTGCCATACAGAAGGTCCCGGGTTCGAATCTGGGAAAAGACATGAATGCTTGTAATTGTGCAGTAAAGAGCGCTCAAAATACCCAGAAAGCCGACATCCTCTCGAGAGGCTGATGGTGGAGAAAGAGGGGTGGGAGACCCTGGAACCACCCCCGAGGTTTTGTCAATTGGAATTCTAGTTAGGGCGGAAGCTGAACGGTTAGCAAGGCCCATGCTTACATGGAAGCACAAGTGCCGACCTTGCTTCAGCCTGTACCCGTAACTGTCGGTGTGGACAATTTTGTCCTGCAAACAAGCTGCATTCCTAACTCTATGTGACACGGCTGTACGACCCTGCAAAATAGTAAGAATCATGTGTCTGTCCTTTCGGGTGTTAGTGGTACTGGGTTTGCTGAGGTCATGTATGGTACAGAGTATTGTCCTCTCTGACATAGTGGTTTCATAGCCTCTTGACAGACATGGGATCCCGAGCAGTGTGCATAGATATATATATATGTAGACTGTGCCATAAAAATAAATGAAAAGGACAGTTCTATATCTTTCATTCTACTGGGTCAATTGACAAAATTCAAATTGCATTTACATGTCTTGAAAGCACGACTTAGAATATATATTAGATTTATATATAGCATTCTTCTAACAGGTATTTTGACTCAAATTCGGACTTTTTCTGAAATAACATACCAATTTTTTTCTATATTTCTATTCTACAACTCAAATTATGCCTAGATATTAAATTTTGTAAAATTTGGTGTAAAATTTATAGAGAAATTCAAAAGTTTATCTTGGCGCACATTTTTCAGTTTGCGGCAACAATAATTCACTTGGCAAACTTAATACATGGCAACCAATTTTCCTTTCCTTTCCATTATGTCGGAGCCGAAAATGTCGCCTCGTTCCTACCTTTTTTACATTGTGCATCAGCTCACATCGTTCCTACTTTCAAATAAAAAAGTGTCTAAACCACATTTGATGTTTTATCGCTTTCAACAAATACGCCAAATTTCAAAATGTGCCAATATATGAATTTATGTATATCTCTGGAAATTTTCAATAAAAAACTAATTTTTTGCAGGTATGCTTAGAAATACATCTACTTTAAGATGATGGTAAAAATTTTATAGATTATATTTCAAAATTTTTTTGAAAAATTTATAAAAATTATTTAAAAATTCAAATTTTAAAAATAAATCATAAAAAAATGGGTGAATTTTATTTGGAATGAACCTGAGTTTCGAAATGTGATAGGAAGAATCAAATAAGTTTAATAAATAAAGAGAGATTAATAAATGTATACCAAAATGAATTAACATTGAGGAGCTGAAATTTTGAAAGCTAATTTTTTAAAAACTACTTGTGTGAGTTTTACAAAACTTGGTAGTTTGGTATAATTTGAGCCGTAGAATCGAAATATGGAAAAAAAATTGGTATGTTATTTCAGAAAAAGTCTGATTTTGTTTCCAAATACCTATGTTAGAACAATGATGTATATAAATCTAATATATATCCTAAGTCGCGTTTTCGAGACATGAAAAACGCAATTTGAAATTCCTCAATCAGCCCAGTAGAATGGGAGATAATAGAACTTTCACCCCTTTTTTTTGTGCAGTGTACACTGCTCAAAAAAAAAAAGGAGGGAAAGTGCCATTTCGAAATTTAGGTTCATTCCAAATAAAATTTACCCATTTTTTGTGTTTTATTTTTTAAATTTCTATTTTAAAAATAATTTTTATAAATTTTTCAAAAAAAATTTTGAATTATAACCTATAAAATTTTTACCATCATCTTAAAGTAGGTGTATTTTTAAGCATATCTGCAAAAAATTATACTTTTTTATGCAAAATTTTCTAAGATATACACGAATTTACATATTTTTGCGTTTTGAAATTTGGCATCTTTTTTTTGAGCGATAATAACGCCAAATGTGGTCTATGGATTTTTGTTACAATGAATTGCCACAGCTATTTTTAACCTTAAATTTCAAGTAAAATTTTATGGAGAATTAATTATATGAAATTTTTTCCCTCAATGATGCTTAATAGCTTAATAAATATTTGTTAATACTATATTAGAAGCTATTTTTTAAAATTATAGATGATATTATTCAAATTTTTAACTATTTTTTTTTTTTAAATTTCTCTCTATCTTCCTTTTTTAAAAAAATAAGAGTAAATTTTTGTAAGAGTAAATTTTTACCTTCGGCTTTTTATCGTCTGCTACTTTACTTCGTTTAAATTGAATTGTCTAAAACTGAGAATTTTCATTTGATGTTTATTTGAATTTTATGACATTAACTACATAATTTATTTCTAAACAAACTGTTGCTTTTGAAGTGGCTGAAAGAGCGGCTGATACTATCATCCATATTTTTAAAGCACAGTATATTTTTATAGAAACATAAGATTTAGAATAATCATTTTTATAAAAGTCAAATTATGATAAAAACATACAACCCTCTAGAGACTGAATTAATGAAAGTTCAGTGGTTATGTAGAAATGATCTGCAGCTACTTAATGGCTGGATAAGTCAGCAGGTTCTGTGGACAAGTAAGAATAATTATAAAGACACCCAACATTCTGGATTCAATTAACAACGAGGATACGATGTTTATTAAATGAATTAAAGAAGTTTTAAAACATAAAAAATCAACTCATTTTTTTTATCCTAAAATGTATTTTTGTGCGTAGCGTATTTTCATTATATCCTTAAAATTCTAATTTAGAATGTAATTGTCAAGAAC